GTATACTTCTACATGTCCATGTTCCTGTCGTAAGCGCTTTTTCTAGCAAGAACATGAGGGTCGCAAACGTTATCACCTGGTTAAATGGTCCACAGCATGTCGATTAAAAGAGAAAGGGGACCTGGGGGTGAAAGATCTACACAAACAAAATATTAGCTTACTCACCAAATGGTGGTGGAAGCTAGAGACCCAGGAAGGGCTTTGGCAGGAGGTGATCTGGGCAAAGTACTTCAAAAAAGACATGGTGACGTCCATTAAAACCAGATTTGGGGATTCCCCTATCTGGAAGGCTATTATGAAGGTCAAGGAGTACTACCTTGTTGGCAGAAAGGTATTTTGAACTCTGACAATCTTGCCAGGATGTGGATGGATCCTTGTAGGGAGGAGCGACCGTTGTGTGCTCAGTTCCCTGTTTGTTTCAACGTGTGTAATAATCAAGAGATTACTGTGGCTAAATTTTGGGAGAGTGTGGATGAAAACTTTTTTAGAAGACGATTACACCCTCCTCTTCTTGACCAATGGAGAGAGGTGCAAGCTAGGGTGAGGGCTTGGCCTCTCTCTAATGATCCTGATCAAGTCGTTTGGACCCTGGGGAAGAAAAGAAAATTCACTACTAAATCTGTATACGATTACCTGGAGAGGAACCTAGCTGGGTGCAATTACAAGTGGATATGGAGAGCGAAAATTCCTCTTAAAATGCAAATTTTTCTATGCCAATTACTCCAGACTTTTGTTCTGACCAGGGATGTCATGAGCAGACGTGGGTGGCTGGGAAGGCCTGTGTGTCCATTATGTAATAATAGAGAAACTTCTCAAGATCTCTTTTTTACCTGTCTGGTTGCTAGAGTTGTGTGGAGGACAGTGGGATGTGTTTTGGGCACGGATAGATGTCCTAACAATATTTGGCAATATTTTGCTTGGTGTTACTGTTTTATTCCTGGTGGGGAGAGGTTCTATACCTTTGGCCTAGCTGCTCTTTGCTAGGCGATGTGGAATTGCCGTAATAAAAGAATCTTTGATTTCAAAAAGTTAAAGTCCCCCTTTGATGTGGTATACTCTGCTTGTAGTTATCTATCTTATTGGGCAGGATTGCTATTGGGTGAAGACGGTGATGGAGTGTGGCTCTAAGATGTTGCGGATCAACTCCTCGAACATGATAAGAATCTGTGCAGCACCAAGAGACGCGACGCAGAGCGGATGAAGAAGGAGGAAGGGCAGGTGGCTCGTGGCTGGGAGCAATTCGCCTTCCCCGCGCTTCTGGCTCCTGTGTCTTTTGCTTGTCGTATGCTGCTGTGTGTTGAAGACTGTTTGGGCGGCTGTGAGGTCCCTGCTCCCGTGTGAGCTTTTAGGTATGGCCTAGCTGAATAGGCTTGTAATGGATGGTTTGCTAAACTGTTTAGGTCTGTGTAGTAGTTCAGGTGTCACTGGGTTTTCGCCCCATGGTGGGCTGCCCGATGACGGGTGTTCACCGCGGGTTTCTCAGTGGTGCGTTGAACCCGCTTTCCTTATCTATGTTTCCTGGATGGTCATGTCGAACTGATGTTATTTCCGTTATGAGAGTAATGGAAAGGGGTTATGCCCAGTTCAAAAAAAGGAACACCCGAACGTGCAGCATATCCTGTAAAGCCCGCCTGTTAGATCACAGTGACAGAGCAGCCGAGGTGAATCGCAGGGCAATTCTCCTTTGGCACGCACAGCATGGCTAGCTAGGTAGCTTCCGTGCATGGAGCTTCTTCAACTCACCTGGCTACATGCATGCATGCCACCGTGCCAATGGAGAAGCGCCCTGGGATTCACACGCCGCAACACATGGACATGGGCCAACTTTTGCTCTCCCTGTCCGCTTAGCTCAATGTTCTGAAGTTCTTGAGCTTGTCGATGAAAACATTCTACTTCTTGGCCTTGCTTATATACTGCACGATCTGCCTCGGAATATTATGGATCTTCGCACGGCATATGCTCCGAGTCCGATCGACTATTCCAGAGAAGGAGGTGCCTTTCTTGCGGGTAGTGTCTCCATCGTCCCCCCTTTGGAATGTGCCATTAGGAACAATGGTCCTCGTAGCCTAGCCTGCCTTTTCGGAAGTATATATGGTGCAACGTTACAGCAGAGAAAGCCGATTTTTAGAGCTGAGCAGCACTAACCACACTGAGTGAAGCGTCAATTAATTTGATGCCAGATATGAAGAGATTTTGTTCTGCGCATCTCTAGCTTGCCTTGTAACTGAGCTGTTGCTGTTGAATAAACTGATTTATGCGTTCCGTTAGCCCTTGGCAGCCACGAACTTTTCTCATGGTCTGAGATGGTACATTCCATTGGAACTTCTCTACTCGGTCAAGCTCATGCAAGTTGGTCGCTTTTCTGACTGAAACACGAGGCGTAAAGGGGTAGATCTCTCCGGGACCAAGACTGTCTGCATGGAGCTACCAGGTTTTGTGCTGGGAATGAAAATGAAATTTTCTACCAAATGAAATATATTAATCTTTTGAAAGATTGGCATCGGTTTATTCTAAATTTTTATTATGATGAGACGTCCAGGTTTATATCCAGTCTGAGACTGATGCTACATTGTTCTCTCAACCTTGTTTTAAGAGACATGATTTTCAGCACCCGGGTGCCCCTACACCCTCTATAAATAGTAAATTCAAAACAAATTCAAAAAAAGTCAATAAAATCTGAAACTTTGGGAGATCGAACACCATGAAATTTTTGATGATCTTGCAAAGTTTTAGCTAAAAATAACATTCGAAGAGCACTCAAATAAAAAAACAAAATCATTGTTCAAAGTTTATGTACATTTTTTAGCAGTGATTTTTTTTGGTGAGGGCTCCACGAAGGTTATTTGTTGCTGAGACTTTGCAGGAACATCAAACCTTTGATAATCTTTGATCCCTGAAAGTTTCAGATTTTTTTAATTTTTTATGAATTTACTGTTCATGAGGGTGTAGGGGCACCCAGGAGTTGTTAGACATTTCTCTTGTTTTAACTGCTTTGCATTGTTAACTGAAGTGTAATTATAATTAAAGGCTAACAACTAGACTATTGGTTTTCAGAATGTACAAGACCAAGTGGCGTGAGACCTGCCTTTCTTTTGTTTCTTAAATTGCTATTACTTAGTTATTTCCTTGATGAAATTTATGAAACCACATATTAAAGAAATACTACTAAATCACAAAAGAAACAACATCCAACACCTGCAAGGATAGTTGCATTTAACATCCGACGCATAGGACAATGTAACACTGCGTATCAACTCGGATACAAGTGTGTCTCGAAATCGTGCTAAGATTTAGAGAAATCATGAGATTCAGAGTTTAGGAAAGGTGAAAGAGGAGCGAGCTTGTAGGGGAGATAGGAGTACAGTTATTTCTCAGTCCGATCCCATCCACAAAACTCAGCTGTCACAGCACGAGTAGTTAACCGTGCCACACCTCCTGTGCCTGGCTATCCCCAGCGACGGTCTTCATCGGCCCGGTCTTTGAGTTAACAACCCAAAGAGCTTCTGTCAACCTC